TCAACTACTATTATTTTTACCTATTCAAAATTTGGAAACTATCCATATTATTTGGAGGAAGGCGAAAATCCCAAGTTATGAATTAGCATACCACATACTGGGCTAGGCCCATGAAAGTCAACAGAGACTAATTTCGTAAGTGATTGGGAAGATTATTTGTAAAGCAATTATTAAGTGGGCTAACAGGTCATGGGCTTCTTTATTTCTGTATTGGCCCCTCACCCACTACCACTTTTGTTTTTGGTCAAAAATCCAATTAAAGCCCATCGTTGTTTGGATTCTTTTTTGAATAGTGGGTTGGACAAATTTGGGCTTCACTTACGGCCCAATATATCTAACAAAGCCCACATAACAAGCTTCTGGGAACACTCTCAAAAAAATTGAACTAGTGTTTTGGTATTAAAGCTATTTGGAACTTACTGTCACGGCTTGCTATTTTTAAGCTATCCGTGCGGCACTTAGACATCACGCCAAAGTTTCAATCTTATTGATAATATATATATACATATATTTTTATTTAAAGAAAAATAAATTTATGATGAATAATTTTTTTTTGTCATTGGAAATCATTGGGAAAATATTTAATAATTCTATTAATATAATTATGATATTAATTTTCTGGAAATTATTGATTATTTGAGAGTCTATTGTATATCAATTAATGTTTATTTTTGACATTCATCGCTTAATTACAAAACATTAAAATGAAAATTCTTAATAGATAAGGAAAAATCAATTTCTCCTTGACAAACATCCCAAATTATTAAGCACAGGTTGTTAAGGGGGATCGGTAAAAAGTTGAATTATGCATCCAAATTATTACATTTTGAATTAGTTATCAAATCTTAAGAAGAATTGCCACACTATCGACATGAAACTATAGAGAAGTCTTTTTTTGAGATGGGAATTATAGAGCGGTTTTAATGAGCTTAATTTGCTGACATATCTTCGTTGCCTTGAAGCCTCGTCATGGCCAGATATAGCAGCAAAAAGTACTCTCCGATTTTTTTAAATTCTTCCCTCCATAGATTTTTCCCAAAGGAGTAAATCTCCAATTTTTTCAGCATATTTTAAAAATTCTTGAAATACTCAACATATTATGATTATCCTTACTTTTCCCTATTTTTTTAATTACCCAAAATTATTACAAAATGGAACTCATATTTTTTAAGTTGAAGAGGATGTAATATTACATTTCTTATTCAAAAGTTGTATTTTTTGTGAGTTATTCATGATTGTCAAGCTATTACGCCAACAGTTGTATATACCCTTTATATGTAAACATGAAACCAAACTTTCAAGACCATTAAAAAAAAAATTAGGGTCCATATTTAGAAATAACTGTGAAGGATTGGCTACAAATATTTCCAAAATGAGGAACATCCCATGTAATAAAATTACAAATGCATTTGTGTAGTCAAATATTATTGCCAACATGGCAACTCAAGAGTTTAAACACAAAAAGGTAAATTACACTTTTTACTCTAAAATTTTTACTTAAATTTCACATTCGTCCTAATTTAAGCTATCCTAACATAAGCTACTGGCCTATTTTTAATGTTTTATCTATTTACTGTATATTTTATAAGAGAATAATTTTAGGAATTTTTAGACAAAAATGCCCTTGTATTGGACCTCAAAGTTTAACCCCTCTCCATTCAAACTTTTCTTTCCATCTTTTAACGGCAAGTAGAATTAAACCCTACTCATTCACTCCAACGGTCCAACCCTTACCGCTGAGGGTCAACTACTATAATTTTTACCTATTCAAAATTTGGAAACTATCCATATTATTTGGAGGAAGGCGAAAATCCCAAGTTATGAATTAGCATGACAAATGATAATGTTAAAACTCAAAATGTTGCTTTCACAATAAATTTACTGTTTTTGCTTCAAATGATAAAAGCTAAAATGGAATGGAAACATCAATTATTTTTGTGGTGTCGTCATCAACATTTGCATGGAATAATGACTTTTTTTATTTTTATTTTTATATAGTTGATAAGATTCAAATCTTACTATCCACTCAGCAATGGTTTTTGGATTAATCTTATTTGTTTTCACTGCAAAATATCAGTCAACTCTTGATCAATCTTAGATAGAAAGAAGTTGGAGATTAGATTAGCCAGAAAATCAGAAAATATGTTATTAATGAATATCAACCTTCCAATGCTATTATAAATATTTTTGTGAGTGTATTTTTTGATTACTTAACATTTCTGAGTTGGAGATAGGGCATACTAGTCATATTACATCCACAAATGAAAATTAAGCATTCATACAAGCAATTAACTCCATGACTTAAAGTTCTCCACAATTCCCTCTCCTTGAGTAATCATAAATATGTCAAATTGACTTGGGGCACTCCATTTTTTATCCATGGAATCTCCCTTATAGCAAAAATGACATTTGATGCCCTAATTACCCTTCTCACAAAAAATAGTTAGTGTTAATACAAGGGCAAAGAAGGAATTTCACACCTTGAGGGGTGGCAACAACAATGGCAGTGAATTTCAACAAGAAACAAACTTTCCATCTAATTCACAAAATTATAGTAATGTATCATTTAGCAAAATGATTAATTACTAGGGATTTAATTACCTCCCACTAACCTCTCCTACCCCCATCACCTCTCTTTTTTACTTTTTCTCAAAGAGAGGAAGTTGAGGAGTTACAGCCACCTCAGAATCTCAGCCCTTGGATGAACTTCTAGGTCAACGGCTATAAACCCTTCTATCTCCTCACAAGGCTTACAACAAGCCCTTGTTTGTCCCAACTTTCCTTTAAGGGATCTCTCTCTCTCTCTCTCTCTCTCTCAACACAAGTAGAGTAGAGAGAAAAAAAACTCAGACAACCTTCCCTAAATCAAAGCAATTTTAGTTGCTTAAAACCAGTCCTTTCTGTTCTTGTTTTCAGTCTCCTTCAAGCCTCTCTCTCTCTCTCATGGAAGGTGTTGCTGAATTATGGTATGGTTATTTACAAAACAAACCTCCTTTATATCGACCTAGTCCTCCATTAACAGCCATAGAGAGGTTCTTGTTGGGTAATAACAACCATTTCTCTCTCCAACCAACTCCAAACATTGTTAAAAGCAATGAACCACACATTCCTTCAAGTGGTTTTCATGGTTTTTCTCTTTTACGTGGTGCAATTGGTAGCTTTTCAGGCAGATTTTCGTGGTCGTGTGTGCCGGAAACTAGATTCACAGACAGGCTTAGGGAGACTGTTAACCGGACACAAGATACAAATCTTAACGTGGGTTTGAATGAAGAGAACATATCAGTGCCAAGAAATTCTAAAGGGGTTGTGAAGACAGTGAAAGATAGGTCTTTTACGCCTCAGATCAAAGGGAAATAGACTGATGAAGAAGATAGGTGATCTAACAAACCCTTTTTCCCCTTTCTTTTAACCCTTGATTTATCTTATTGGACCTCAAAGTTTAAACCCTCTCAAATTACAAATGCATTTGTGTAGTCAAATATTATTGCCAACATGGCAACTCAAGAGTTTAAACACAAAAAGGTAAATTACACTTTTTACTCTAAAATTTTTACTTAAATTTCACATTCGTCCTAATTTAAGCTATCCTAACATAAGCTACTGGCCTATTTTTAATGTTTTATCTATTTACTGTATATTTTATAAGAGAATAATTTTAGGAATTTTTAGACAAAAATGCCCATGTATTGGACCTCAAAGTTTAACCCCTCTCCATTCAAACTTTTCTTTCCGTCTTTTAACGGCAAGTAGAATTAAACCCTACTCATTCACTCCAACGGTCCAACCTTACCGCTGAGGGTCAACTACTATTATTTTTACCTATTCAAAATTTGGAAACTATCCATATTATTTGGAGGAAGGCGAAAATCCCAAGTTATGAATTAGCATGACAAATGATAATGTTAAAACTCAAAATGTTGCTTTCACAACAAATTTACTGTTTTTGCTTCAAATGATAAAAGCTAAAATGGAATGGAAACATCAATTATTTTTGTGGTGTCGTCATCAACATTTGCATGGAATAGTGACTTTTTTTATTTTTATTTTTATATAGTTGATAAGATTCAAATCTTACAATCCACTCAGCAATGGTTTTTGGATTAATCTTATTTGTTTTCACTGCAAAATATCAGTCAACTCTTGATCAATCTTAGATAGAAAGAAGTTGGAGATCAGATTAGCCAGAAAATCAGAAAATATGTTATTAATGAATATCAACCTTCCAATGCTATTATAAATATTTTTGTGAGTATATTTTTTGATTACTTAACATTTCTGAGTTGGAGATAGGGCATACTAGTCATATTACATCCACAAATGAAAATTAAGCATTCATACAAGCAATTAACTCCATGACTTAAAGTTCTCCACAATTCCCTCTCCTTGAGTAATCATAAATATGTCAAATTGACTTGGGGCGCTCCATTTTTTATCCATGGAATCTCCCTTATAGCAAAAATGACATTTGATGCCCTAATTACCCTTCTCACAAAAAATAGTTAGTGTTAATACAAGGGTAAAGAAGGAATTTCACACCTTGAGGGGTGGCAACAGCAATGGCTGTGAATTTCAACAAGAAACAAACTTTCCATCTAATTCACAAAATTATAGTAATGTGTCATTTACAAAAAATGATTAATTACTGAGGATTTAATTACCTCCCACTAACCTCTCCTACCCCCACCACCTCTCTTTTTTACATTTTCTCATAGAGAGGAAGTTGAGGAGTTATAGCCACCTCAGAATCTCAGCCCTTGGATGAACTTCTAGATCAATGGCTATAAACCCTTCTATCTCCTCACAAGGCTTACAACAAGCCCTTGTTTGTCCCAACTTTCTTTTAAGGGATCTCTCTCTTTCTCTCTCAACACAAGTAGAGTAGAGAGAAAAAAAACTCAGACAACCTTCCCTAAATCAAAGCAATTTTTGTTGCTTAAAACCAGTCCTTTCTCTTCTTGTTTTCAGTCTCCTTCGAGCCTTTCTCTCTCTCTCTCTCTCTCATGGAAGGTGTTGGTGAATTAGGGTATGGTTATTTACAAAACAAACCTCTTTTATATCGACCCAGTCCTCCATTAACAGCCATAGAGAGGTTCTTGTTGGGTAATAACAACCATTTCTCTCTCCAACCAACTCCAAACATTGTAAAAAGCAATGAACCACACATTCCTTCAAGTGGTTTTCATGGTTTTTCTCCTTTGCGTGGTGCAATTGGTAGCTTTTCAGGCAGATTTTCGTGGTCGTGTGTGCCGGAAACTAGATTCACAGACAGGCTTAGGGAGACTGTTAACCGGACACAAGATACAAATCTTAACGTGGGTTTGAATGAAGAGAACATATCAGTGCCAAGAAATTCTAAAGGGGTTGTAAAGACAGTGAAAGATAGGTCTTTTACGCCTCAGATCAAAGGGAAATGGACTGATGAAGAAGATAGGTGATCTAACAAACCCTTTTTCCCCTTTCTTTTACCCCTTGATTTATCTTTTTCTTTCTTTCTCTCTCTCTCTCTCTCTTTTTTTTTTGATCGGCAAAAAAGAGAATTTTTATCTCAACTCGAAATAGGACTACATCAAGAAAATAAGAATTGAGGAACAAAATCTCATCACTATATAATATATATCAGTTAGTTTGGCACATGCAATATGAAAAATTCAGTTGATGTTGAATATTTTCTTTAATGTTTTTTTTTTCCCTTCTTTTTTCTGTTTGATCAGTTAGTTTGGCACATGCAATATGAAAAATTCAGTTGATGTTGAATATTTTCTTTAATGTTTTTTTCTTTCCTTCTTTTTTCTGTTTGTTTTGAAGGATGCTGCTTAAATTGGTGAGGCAACATGGAGTGAGAAAATGGGCTCAGATAGCTGAGAAAATGCTTGGCAGGGCTGGAAAACAGTGCCGGGAGCGATGGCACAGTCATTTGCGACCCGATATCAAGGTTTTTTTTAATTTTTTTTTGTGTGTGTGTGTGTGTGTTCTTTCTCCTTATGATTTTCATAATTTGAGGTTTTAAAAACCGCTTTATCTTTTCTTTTATGATTTTGTTAAAAATATGTTTTTTTGCTATTTTGCACAACTGATCATCAAGAAATTGAGTTTCTTTGTTTCAGAAATGAAGGATTCAGAAATCTAAGAACTGAGATTTGGTTTTGATTTGTGTAATTTTTCAAGTAGTCAAACCAGTATAAACCTTACCTTGCCTAATTTTGTTTTCCTTGTATTTTCAACATTTCTTTACAGGATTTAGATTGCCGAGGATTTATATTTTCTGTTCATCTCAATGGTTTTTTTTTTTTTAATAGATTATTGCTATTGAGACCTAAAAATTAAATCCACTTTTATCATTAGGTCTAAAAAATGAACTTGTATATCATTTTTTTTTTAACTAAAGATTTTTTTACATATTAGACTTTACATGAAAATCTTATGGTGAGTTTGAGTTCAGTTTAAACCATTTGACATTTTTCCTTTCATTTATCACCAAAAAAATGTTAAATACGGCGGTGATACAATTTCATTTTCGGAACACGCGACCAAGTGAATTTGCACAGAATGTACAAAGACATTGTGTCAAAAAAAATATATATATATAAAGAAATTCAATGAATATAAAAATGTTAGAGAGAGCAACAATGGAATGCATGATGATGATGTAATACAAATATTGAAGTTTGTGTTTTGAAGTAGTTATGTTTATTTGTTTATTTTCTTATTATTTGTTTTTTTCTTATTTTTTAAATACATAGACGCACGTTATTTTGTGTAGTTGGCAATTAAAATACTCTTGTTGAGAATAGTCTAGACTCTTAAGGCTTGTCGTTCATCATTTATCATCACTTTGACATGCAAAGCCATAGTGTGGTCAGTCCATTGCCTCCTCCTAATCTTTGCCTCCTTCATTTTCATGTGAGTTTGAAACCTCTTTTCCGACAAAGCACCAATGTTGTTATAGAAGTGTCCACCTTTAACATCTCTATATAAAAAGTTTTTTTATCAAAATTTCAATATTTATTAGGTTTTTAAATTGCAGCTGATATGAATTCTGATGCCGTTAGTTAAAATGTTTGCTTTATAACACAATGTGCTTTGTTTTTGGTTTCTGGATGAGTTGTGTGATCAGAAAGATTGTTGGAGTGAAGAAGAAGAAATAAAGTTGGTTAAAGCTCATAAAGAGATTGGCAACAAATGGGCAGAAATTGGAAAGCAAATCCCGGGAAGGACTGAGAATTCAATTAAGAACCACTGGAATGCAACCAAAAGAAAGCTGAATTCAAAGGGAAAGATCAAGAAATCCGAGGCTCAGATTAGAAGGGATCTAACTCGATCAACTATACTCAAAAATTACATTAAAAGTATGAATTTGAGCGATGCAGGTACTGACATTGCCCCTCCTATTACTGGAAGCACCACCACCCCTACTGGCTCCACTGTCACTGAAGAAGATTTCTCAAACCAATCCTCTCTTTCGCTTCCATCGGATTTGTCTGAGGAGTCCATCGATAACTCTCCTCATTTCATGTACCAATCATATGATGACGAACTCAACTTCATGACCAACTTCTTTGGTAACAAAGATGACCAACTACCACCACCACCACCATCCATTGATAACAACAACAAAGACAAGGGTGTAATTGAGTCTCCAACGGTTCAAAATGATCATGCCAACAATGTTTTGGGCCACTCAGGCCTTTCGGGCGTCAATTCCTTTGGATTCAATAACAACAATGGTGATCACCAGTTCCTCAATGACAAGAACAATGGTGATCATCAGTTCGTCAATGACATGATTGTTGGAGGTGGTGGCTTTTCCTCTTCCATAACTGAGCCAAACATGTTCATAAATACCCATATTGAAGAACCACGAAAAACCCATTTGTCTTCTGACTTTTACCTCCCCAATCTGTTTGATGGAGCCACCACTACTTCACCTTCCATGGGTTAGTACTATCATGGGAACAACATGGTGGATTCTCTAACTGGTCAAGCTTCTACAAGTGGGAATGGGAAGAAAGATACGGATTTGAAGGAGATGTTTGCTGCTTCTCACGTCTCTCATGGTGGCAATGGCAACCCTAACTTTGTGCTCTAAGTATATGTACTCTCCATCTAATCTTTTCTTTTAATATTGGGCTATGGCGGTTAGATGTGGCTTCTTTCATATTAGACTCAGAGGTTGTTTGAGATGTTCTAAATAAGTGTATTCTTTGTAATCTTATTAGGCTTCCTCAAGCGAATAAGAGAGGTTCGATTCGAACCATGAGCTTGTCTTGAAAATAGGTAAATCGATAAGTTAAAAATGTCAACTATTTAATAAGCTAAAGACACATCTCAACGAACTCAAATAGTTACAACAACTTGAATTAAAGCTATGACTAAATACAACTAATCCTTATGAGCTCAGTTACACCTCTTGATCATTTTCACTTGATTTCTTTCTAATCTTATTAGTGATGTCATGAATTTTTTGATTCGTAAAGTAACACTTCTAAATTTATTCACACGTGATAGAGAGTTGAATTTTAATTAGTTAATTCAATTAATATTCAACCATTCACATCATTTAAAAATGATGTTATCAAACTTGTAGAAAGCTCTATATTTACCACCCAAAATTTAAATTAAAAAAAAAAAACACTAAGAGAATAATACAATAATTATTTTTTTTTTCACAAATAAAAACCATCATTATTTGAAAGTAGAAGTCCATATTGAATCACATCATTTTAGTATAAATTTTTTTATGTGATTTTTTATTTTTTATATTTGCATTTTTTAATTATTTTCAAAAATATTGTATTATTCCCCCACATTATTATTGTATGAAATTTTGTGTGTGTGCGCGCGCGTTTTTTAGTTTATTTAAATGGATCATTTTTTTGTTGATAATTATTGATTACAGAGAGGCATCCCATAACTTTCATGATGTCTAGGTAGGCATTTCCTTCTTCATTATATATCATATCTGTTAGCAATGTGTGTGTATGGGCTAACACGTTCGTCTAGCTTTCCCAATATGACAATTTTCTTATCAAATCTAGTGAATTTACCCTAAACGTAACCATGAATAACTTTTGACCAAAAAAAAAAAACACTACCCAACTCTTTGAAACAAATTTCAAAAGGTAAAAGCAAGAAGACCATGCTTTTCCCCCAAGTTTGAGGGGGAGTAACTGAATTATTATGTCATTTGATTTTAGTTCAATTTTTAATTGGATTAACTTGAAATTTAACGAAAATTTTAGACATAAAATTGATTCAATGAAAATTATAAAGACCATATTGACACAAGATAAAGTACAAGAATTATAGGTGTAATTTGTTCTTCTTTTTAATTTAATAAATTTTTTTTTTGAAGTAACCCCACAATCAAAAAAAAAAAAAAAAAAAAAAAGAAAAAAGAAAGAAAGAACGAAAGAAAGAAGGAAAGGAAAGGGAAAAGAGAGATTAATTTGGTCCTCCTCACATCACAAATTAATACCCAACCACATACTGGGCTAGGCCCATGAAAGTCAACAGAGACTAATCGTAAGAAATTGGGAAGATTATTTCTAAAGCAATTATTAAGTGGGCTAACAGGTCATGGGCTTCTTTATTTCTGTATTGGCCCCTCACCCACTACCACTTTTGTTTTTGGTCAAAAATCCAATTAAAGCCCATCGTTGTTTGGATTCTTTTTTGAATAGTGGGTTGGACAAATTTGGGCTTCACTTACGGCCCAATATATCTAACAAAGCCCACATAACAAGCTTCTGGGAACACTCTCAAAAAAATTGAACTAGTGTTTTGGTATTAAAGCTATTTGGAACTTACTGTCACGGCTTGCTATTTTTAAGCTATCCGTGCGGCACTTAGACATCACGCCAAAGTTTCAATCTTATTGATAATATATATATACATATATTTTTATTTAAAGAAAAATAAATTTATGATGAATAATTTTTTTTTTGTCATTGGAAATCATTGGGAAAATATTTAATAATTCTATTAATATAATTATGATATTAATTTTCTGGAAATTATTGATTATTTGAGAGTCTATTGTATATCAATTAATGTTTATTTTTGACATTCATCGCTTAATTACAAAACATTAAAATGAAAATTCTTAATAGATAAGGAAAAAACAATTTCTCCTTGACAAACATCCCAAATTATTAAGAACAGGTTGTTAAGGGGGATCGGTTAGACATATAAAAAGTTGAATTATGCATCCAAATTATTACATTTTGAATTAGTTATCAAATCTTAAGAAGAATTGCCACACTATCGACATGAAACTATAGAGAAGTCTTTTTTTGAGATGGGAATTATAGAGCGGTTTTAATGAGCTCAATTTGCTGACATATCTTCGTTGCCTTGAAGCCTCGTCATGGCCAGATATAGCAGCAAAAAGTACTCTCCGATTTTTTTAAATTCTTCCCTCCATAGATTTTTCCCAAAGGAGTAAATCTCCAATTTTTTCAGCATATTTTAAAAATTCTTGAAATACTCAACATATTATGATTATCCTTACTTTTCCCTATTTTTTTAATTACCCAAAATTATTACAAAATGGAACTCATATTTTTTAAGTTGAAGAGGATGTAATATTACATTTCTTATTCAAAAGTTGTATTTTTTGTGAGTTATTCATGATTGTCAAGCTATTACGCCAACAGTTGTATATACCCTTTATATGTAAACATGAAACCAAACTTTCAAGACCATTAAAAAAAAAATTAGGGTCCATATTTAGAAATAACTGTGAAGGATTGGCTACAAATATTTCCAAAATGAGGAACATCCCATGTAATAAAATTACAAATGCATTTGTGTAGTCAAATATTATTGCCAACATGGCAACTCAAGAGTTTAAACACAAAAAGGTAAATTACACTTTTTACTCTAAAATTTTTACTTAAATTTCACATTCGTCCTAATTTAAGCTATCCTAACATAAGCTACTGGCCTATTTTTAATGTTTTATCTATTTACTGTATATTTTATAAGAGAATAATTTTAGGAATTTTTAGACAAAAATGCCCATGTATTGGACCTCAAAGTTTAACCCATCTCCATTCAAACTTTTCTTTCCGTCTTTTAACGGCAAGTAGAATTAAACCCTACTCATTCACTCCAACGGTCCAACCCTTACCGCTGAGGGTCAACTACTATAATTTTTACCTATTCAAAATTTGGAAACTATCCATATTATTTGGAGGAAGGCGAAAATCCCAAGTTATGAATTAGCATGACAAATGATAATGTTAAAACTCAAAATGTTGCTTTCACAATAAATTTACTGTTTTTGCTTCAAATGATAAAAGCTAAAATGGAATGGAAACATCAATTATTTTTGTGGTGTCGTCATCAACATTTGCATGGAATAGTGACTTTTTTTATTTTTATTTTGATATAGTTGATAAGATTCAAATCTTACTATCCACTCAGCAATGGTTTTTGGATTAATCTTATTTGTTTTCACTGCAAAATATCAGTCAACTCTTGATCAATCTTAGATAGAAAGAAGTTGGAGATCAGATTAGCCAGAAAATCAGAAAATATGTTATTAATGAATATCAACCTTCCAATGCTATTATAAATATTTTTGTGAGTATATTTTTTGATTACTTAACATTTCTGAGTTGGAGATAGGGCATACTAGTCATATTACATCCACAAATGAAAATTAAGCATTCATACAAGCAATTAACTCCATGACTTAAAGTTCTCCACAATTCCCTCTCCTTGAGTAATCATAAATATGTCAAATTGACTTGGGGCGCTCCATTTTTTATCCATGGAATCTCCCTTATAGCAAAAATGACATTTGATGCCCTAATTACCCTTCTCACAAAAAATAGTTAGTGTTAATACAAGGGTAAAGAAGGAATTTCACACCTTGAGGGGTGGCAACAGCAATGGCAGTGAATTTCAACAAGAAACAAACTTTCCATCTAATTCACAAAATTATAGTAATGTGTAATTTAGAAAAAATGATTAATTACTGGGGATTTAATTACCTGCCACTAACCTCTCCTACCCCCATCACCTCTCTTTTTTACATTTTCTCATAGAGAGGAAGTTGAGGAGTTACAGCCACCTCAGAATCTCAGCCCTTGGATGAACTTCTAGATCAACGGCTATAAACCCTTCTATCTCCTCACAAGGCTTACAACAAGCCCTTGTTTGTCCCAACTTTCTTTTAAGGGATCTCTCTCTCTCTCTCTCTCTCTCAACACAAGTAGAGTAGAGAGAAAAAAAACTCAGACAACCTTCCCTAAATCAAAGCAATTTTTGTTGCTTAAAACCAGTCCTTTCTCTTTTTGTTTTCAGTCTCCTTCAAGCCTCTCTCTCTCTCTC